CTGCAGTTTAATATCAAAGTCTTATAAGAAGAGAAGAGTGGACATCCCTCCAGCTTGGTTTTCAGCTCTCTTATCGCCGAATGGATCTGCTATGCAGAGGGGTACACAGAGGACTCCAGTATTTGCTCCATCATTCAATATATTTTGTAATGTATAATGGAAATATGACCATATTATATACAGTATGTGCCTGGACCCTGAGGTTGTCCATCATGATGTGCACAGGGTGTGTGGGCTCCGGGCCCTCATGTCTGTATAACAATGGTATTCCCTGTAATGGGATTGTTGGTGAGAGACAATTTCATCCTCTGCTCAGTTGGCTTGAAGCTGCTGGCCGTCACATACGGAGATCATGTATGGAGATCATGTATGGAGATCATGTATGGAGATCATGTTTGGGGAAATCACAAAGTCTGTGCTGAGATTATCTCCAACTGTCATCTCCTCCAACTCAGATATAAAGAACCCAACCCATCATCTACAGAGAGAAGTCTCCTCATTATTATTCGTGCTTTCACTGTGCAGAGATGGAGCTCCGTCTTCCTCTCATCCTTCTGTGTGTGTCCACCTCACTCTCCATAGAGGACAATGAGACAGAGGGTGAGTACCCCCATTTCAGTATTGTAGGGTGATATCATGTATTGTGTCCCCCCACCTCACTCTCCATAGAGGACAATGAGACAGAGGGTGAGTACCCCCATTTCAGTATTGTAGGGTGATATCATGTATTGTGTCCCCCCACCTCACTCTCCATAGAGGACAATGAGACGGAGGGTGAGTACCCCCATTTCAGTATTGTAGGGTGATATCGGATGTATTGTGTCCCCCCACCTCACTCTCCATAGAGGACAATGAGACGGAGGGTGAGTACCCCCATTTCAGTATTGTAGGGTGATATCATGTATTGTGTCCCCCCAACTCGCTCTCCATAGAGGACAATGAGACGGAGGGTGAGTACCCCCATTTCAGTATTGTAGGGTGATATCATGTATTGTGTCCCCCCACCTCATCTCCATAGAGGACAATGAGACGGAGGGTGAGTACCCCCATTTCAGTATTGTAGGGTGATATCATGTATTGTGTCCCCCCACCTCACTCTCCATAGAGGACAGTGAGACGGAGGGTGAGTACCCCCATTTCAGTATTGTAGGGTGATATCATGTATTGTCCCCCCACCTCACTCTCCATAGAGGACAATGAGACGGAGGGTGAGTACCCCCATTTCAGTATTGTAGGGTGATATCATGTATTGTGTCCCCCCCACAATGAAAGGGAGGGTGAGTATTCGTCATCTCTCTCCATAGAGGACAATGAGATGGAGGGTGAGTACCCCCATTTCAGTATTGTAGGGTGATATCATGTATTGTGTCCCCCACCTCGCTCTCCATAGAGGACAATGAGACGGAGGGTGAGTACCCCCATTTCAGTATTGTAGGGTGATATCATGTATTGTGTCCCCCCCACCTCACTCTCCATAGAGGACAATGAGACGGAGGGTGAGTACCCCCATTTCAGTATTGTAGGGTGATATCATGTATTGTGTCCCCCCACCTCACTCTCCATAGAGGACAATGAGACGGAGGGTGAGTACCCCCATTTCAGTATTGTAGGGTGATATCATGTATTGTGTGTCCCCCCACCTCACTCTCCATAGAGGACAATGAGACGGAGGGTGAGTACCCCCATTTCAGTATTGTAGGGTGATATCATGTATTGTGTCCCCCCACCTCGCTCTCCATAGAGGACAATGAGACGGAGGGTGAGTACCCCCATTTCAGTATTGTAGGGTGATATCATGTATTGTGTCCCCCCACCTCGCTCTCCATAGAGGACAATGAGACGGAGGGTGAGTACCCCCATTTCAGTATTGTAGGGTGATATCATGTATTGTGTCCCCCCACCTCGCTCTCCATAGAGGACAATGAGACGGAGGGTGAGTACCCCCATTTCAGTATTGTAGGGTGATATCATGTATTGTGTCCCCCCACCTCGCTCTCCATAGAGGACAATGAGACGGAGGGTGAGTACCCCCCATTTCAGTATTGTAGGGTGATATCATGTATTGTGTCCCCCCACCTCACTCTCCATAGAGGACAATGAGACGGAGGGTGAGTACCCCCATTTCAGTATTGTAGGGTGATATCATGTATTGTGTCCCCCCACCTCACTCTCCATAGAGGACAATGAGACGGAGGGTGAGTACCCCCATTTCAGTATTGTAGGGTGATATCATGTATTGTGTCCCCCCACCTCACTCTCCATAGAGGACAATGAGACGGAGGGTGAGTACCCCCATTTCAGTATTGTAGGGTGATATCATGTATTGTGTCCCCCCCACCTCACTCTCCATAGAGGACAATGAGACGGAGGGTGAGTACCCCCCATTTCAGTATTGTAGGGTGATATCATGTATTGTGTCCCCCCCCCTCACTCCCCATAGAGGACAATGAGACGGAGGGTGAGTACCCCCATTTCAGTATTGTAGGGTGATATCATGTATTGTGTCCCCCCACCTCACTCTCCATAGAGGACAATGAGACGGAGGGTGAGTACCCCCATTTCAGTATTGTAGGGTGATATCATGTATTGTGTCCCCCCACCTCGCTCTCCATAGAGGACAATGAGACGGAGGGTGAGTACCCCCATTTCAGTATTGTAGGGTGATATCATGTATTGTGTCCCCCCACCTCGCTCTCCATAGAGGACAATGAGACGGAGGGTGAGTACCCCCATTTCAGTATTGTAGGGTGATATCATGTATTGTGTCCCCCCCACCTCCTCGCTCTCCATAGAGGACAATGAGACGGAGGGTGAGTACCCCCATTTCAGTATTGTAGGGTGATATCATGTATTGTGTCCCCCCACCTCACTCTCCATAGAGGACAATGAGACGGAGGGTGAGTACCCCCATTTCAGTATTGTAGGGTGATATCATGTATTGTGTCCCCCCACCTCACTCTCCATAGAGGACAATGAGACGGAGGATGAGTACCCCCATTTCAGTATTGTAGGGTGATATCATGTATTGTGTCCCCCCACCCCCCACCTCGCTCCCATAGAGGACAATGAGACGGAGGGTGAGTACCCCCATTTCAGTATTGTAGGGTGATATCATGTATTGTGTCCCCCACCTCACTCTCCATAGAGGACAATGAGACGGAGGGTGAGTACCCCCATTTCAGCATTGTAGGGTGATATCGTGTATTGTGTCCCCCCACCTCACTCTCCATAGAGGACAATGAGACGGAGGGTGAGTACCCCCATTTCAGTATTGTAGGGTGATATCGTGTATTGTGTCCCCCCACCTCACTCTCCATAGAGGACAATGAGATGGAGGGTGAGTACCCCCATTTCAGTATTGTAGGGTGATATCATGTATTGTGTCCCCCCCCACCTCACTCTCCATAGAGGACAATGAGACGGAGGGTGAGTACCCCCATTTCAGTATTGTAGGGTGATATCATGTATTGTGTGTCCCCCACCTCACTCTCCATAGAGGACAATGAGACGGAGGGTGAGCACCCCCATTTCAGTATTGTAGGGTGATATCATGTATTGTCCCCCCAATTCACTCTCCATAGAGGACAATGAGACGGAGGGTGAGTACCCCCATTTCAGTATTGTAGGGTGATATCATGTATTGTGTCCCCCACCTCGCTCTCCATAGAGGACAATGAGACGGAGGGTGAGCACCCCCATTTCAGTATTGTAGGGTGATATCATGTATTTGTCCCCCCAATTCACTCTCCATAGAGGACAATGAGACGGAGGGTGAGTACCCCCATTTCAGTATTGTAGGGTGATATCATGTATTGTGTCCCCCCCACCTCACTCTCCATAGAGGACAATGAGACGGAGGGTGAGTAGTACCCCCATTTCAGTATTGTAGGGTGATATCATGTATTGTGTCCCCCCACCTCACTCTCCATAGAGGACAATGAGACGGAGGGTGAGTACCCCCATTTCAGTATTGTAGGGTGATATCATGTATTGTCCCCCCCCCCACCTCACTCTCCATAGAGGACAATGAGACGGAGGGTGAGTACCCCCATTTCAGTATTGTAGGGTGATATCATGTATTGTCCCCCCACCTCACTCTCCATAGAGGACAATGAGACGGAGGGTGAGCACCCCCATTTCAGTATTGTAGGGTGATATCATGTATTGTGTCCCCCCCCACCTCACTCTCCATAGAGGACAATGAGACGGAGGGTGAGAGCACCCCCCATTTCAGTATTGTAGGGTGATATCACAGTGTTTCATTACTCTATAGGGAAGTACATAATATGGATGCCAGTCTACTACTTGAGTGTCTTGGACCCCATTGGGGAGGGGTAACAGAGGGATATCTCACTAAAAGAGTCCAGATGGACGCATTGCATCCGAAGGGGTTGAATAGCGGACTAAATAGTGACTGTTTTATCAGTGATTAGGGATTTTCAGATTTTGATGTCCATCTTCTGAGGTTGTGTGGAGATATGGACCATCCTTGGTGTTGTAGTGGATAGGCCAGGGCTGGGACAAGGGTGGGCAGAAGAAGCGGCTTCTCTAGACGCACTCGATGGGGGTACCATTCTTCTGGAGCAGCAACAGTGGCAGTGATTGTGACATGTAAGTGACAGTTGGGTGTAGGATCCCCTCTGCTTGCACATCATGAACCGGGGGAAGGGCGGCGCAGTTTGGCATTTTTGCCCTGGATGACCTTGTCCTGGCACTGGGGTAGGCAGTATGTTTATATGTCCCTAGTTTAATGAGGAGTTATGGACATGTAAGTCTGTCACTTCTCCATCCATTTCCCATGGCTAGATACACTATATTGCCAAAAGTATTGGGCCAGCCCTCTAAATCATGTGATTCAGGTGTTCCAATCCCCTCCATATCATGTGATTCAGGTGTTCCAATCCCCTCCATATCATGTGATTCAGGTGTTCCAATCCCCTCCCAATCATGTGGTTCAGGTGTTCCAATCCCCTCCATATCATGTGATTCAGGTGTTCCAATCCCCTCCATATCATGTGATTCAGGTGTTCCAATCCCCTCCATATCATGTGATTCAGGTGTTCCAATCCCCTCCATATCATGTGATTCAGGTGTTCCAATCCCCTCCATATCATATGATTCAGGTGCTCCAATCCCCTCCATATCATGTGATTCAGGTGTTCCAATCCCCTCCATATCATGTGATTCAGGTGTTCCAATCCCCTCCATATCATGTGATTCAGGTATTCCAATCCCCTCCATATCATGTGATTCAGGTGTTCCAATCCCCTCCATATCATGTGATTCAGGTGTTCCAATCCCCTCCATATCATGTGATTCAGGTGTTCCAATCCCCTCCATATCATGTGATTCAGGTGTTCCAATCCCCTCCATATCATGTGATTCAGGTATTCCAATCCCCTCCATATCATCTGATTCAGGTGTTCCAATCCCCTCCATATCATGTGATTCAGGTGCTCCAATCCCCTCCATGGACACAGGTGTATACAATCCATCCCCTAGGCATGCAGATGGCTTCTACAAACATTGGTGAAAGAATGGGTCGCTCTCAGGAGCTCAGTGACTCCAAGCATGGTCCCGTGATAGGTGGTCACCTGGGCAATAAGTCCATCCGTGACATTTCCTGGCTACTAAATATTCCACGCTCAACTGTTAGTGGGATTATAACAAAGTGGAAGCAACTGGGAACAACAGCCACTCAGCCACCAAGTGGTAGGCCACGTCACATGACAGGGCGGGGTCAGCGCATGCTGAAGCACACAGTGCGCAGAAGTCGCCAACTGTCTGCAGAGTCAATAGCTAAAAAGACCTCCAAACTTGGTGTGGCCTTCAGATGAGCCCAACAACAGTGCGTAGAGAGCTTCATGGAATGGGTTTCCATGGCAAAGCAGCTGCATCCAAGCCTTCCATCACCAAGTGCAATGCAAAGCGTCGGATGTCGTGGTGTAAAGCACGCTGCCACTGGACTCTAGAGCAGAGGAGACGTGTTCTCTGGAGTGACCAATCACGCCTCTGTCTGGCAATCCAATGCACGTGTCTGGGTTTGGCGGTTGCCAGGAGAACGGTACTTGCCTGACTGCATTGTGCCAAGTGTAAAGTTTGGTGGACGGGGGATTATGGTGTGGGATTGTTTCTCAGGGGGTGGGCTTGGCCCCCTTGTTCCAGTGAAGGAAACTCTTAAGGTGACATTTTGGACAATTTCATGCTCCCAACTTTGTGGGAAGAGTTTGGGGATGGCCCCTTCCTGTTCCAACATGCCGGAAATTGCCTCCAGGTCTTCAAACAAGGCTGTGGTCATTGTGGAGGAAATTCAACCTAAAGGTGGACCTCCAACATCCGAGGTGGACAATGCATGATGTACATTACACATGCCTATTCCTCAGATACTCTGGGGTTCCTGTACTGATGTATTTATTCCAGGTAGCGTGCAATTAGGCGGGCAGTGCCCAACACTGACCACAGCCACCTGTGCTCTAGCTGGACCCCACCATGCACATAGCATTTCAACCTGCACTTGTAACTCTTGACCTTCCATGTGCAGAATGGGGACCACTGCAAAGCAGTTCCAATCCAGTTGCTGTGAGAAATGGAATGGGAGTCCTGACAACATCTCCCTCGTACCTAATCCATCTGCACCATGTACACTCTGTAGACAGGCTGCTTGCTGACTTGTACCTTCCCGTTGCTAGTAGCAACCACATGTAATGGGCATTAAGGTGACTTTAGCAGGTTACTCTTCATATCCCATGGTTAATGACCCAAGTAGTGGACCAAGTGTGACACCAGTGCTGTTTACTTGCATTGTACCCCTTTGAAGGACTTCAGACAAGGCAGAATTCAAGGTTCAACAGTTTACTTTGAATAAAATGCAAACATTACACCAGTTCAAGGCAGAAAAGTTCCACAAAACACCGTAATCCCAAAGCCCTAACCTAACCTGCCCCAGTGTACTTGCAGGGGTGGAATCCAAGATGGCAAAGTCCAAGGTTCCAAAGACTGCAGATGTTGGCATCTTCAGGTACACTCTATGGGCATGGACTGGTCACATCTTCAGGGCATGGACTGGTCACATCTCCCAGGGTTAAAGTGGGCAGCATCTGCAACAACGCCCCTCCCTCCAACTTTACCAGTCAGCTCCCTGGGCCCTGGACCACTGTCCCAATTAATATTACAGGCTCAGTGGGCCAGGTCCAAAGAATGCCACCAAAACCAGGAAGACTAATTAATCCCTACCCCTCCCCCCCATGTGGGGGGGCAGCACCTAACTTATTTTAACCTTCCTACAAGAGGTATCAGCTGATTGGGAGTTCACCTGGACTGTGTTTTGTAGTCTGCCTTTCTGTTCTCCTTCCATGGGAGTAGATTCTGGGTTTTACTAATCCTTGTATTGCATATCCTGCACTATGTGAGCGATTTCTTCCTGTGGGTGACTCGTCCTCCATGAGCAGCGGCACACAGGTGGAGGACAATTCCCCCTGAGATCACTTGGAGCCAGGGGCGGACTGACCATTCGGGAACTAGGGCACTGCCCGAGGGCCCAGGGTCAGTAAGGGGCCCCATGACATGCCCCTGGTACCTTTCATAGGCTTTTTTGGGTGTGGTTTGAGTGTGGGCGAGGACACAGGGGTCCCATGATCCCCTATTGCCCGGGGGCCCCATGAGTTCTCAGTCTGCCCCTGCTTGGATTCATGTGCTTTTCTTGACACGGGTCGGCATTGCTGTCTGGTGAGGAAGGACCTGATTGTCCGGTGGAAGGGATGACTTTGGGTTGGACTTCATGGCTGAAGGAATAGAACGCGGGTGGGGAGACGTTGTTCCTATTTGGAAAGTAGGGATTCGTTGAAAGACTGAAATGGACTTTCTGTATTTTTTATGAATGGACTTTTGCAGATGTTACCTCAGAATTGTAATATTTTGTATGACTCCGAACCCGGCCTGATTCACATGGATCATTTTTATGTTTATTTACAAGACCTTTATTTATGAATTCATCTCTTGGTTTGTTGTCTCTATTTGATTCTTTTGAGCACATGGGGGGGGGTTCAGACTACCAGCGCTGGGCTCTAGGAGGTTATGAATGCTTGCAGGTATTGAGCACATGGGGGGGTTCACACTACCAGCGCTGGGCTCTAGGAGGTTATGAATGCTTGCAGGTATTGAGCACATGGGGGGGTTCACACTACCAGCGCTGGGCTCTAGGAGGTTATGAATGCTTGCAGGTATTGAGCACATGGGGGGGGTTCAGACTACCAGCGCTGGGCTCTAGGAGGTTATGAATGCTTGCAGGTATTGAGCACATGGGGGGGGGGTTCACACTACCAGCGCTGGGCTCTAGGAGGTTATGAATGCTTGCAGGTATTGAGCACATGGGGGGGTTCACACTACCAGCGCTGGGCTCTAGGAGGTTATGAATGCTTGCAGGTATTGAGCACTTGGGGGGGTTCACACTACCAGCGCTGGGCTCTAGGAGGCTATGAATGCTTGCAGGTATTGAGCACATGGGGGGGGTTCACACTACCAGCGCTGGGCTCTAGGAGGTTAGGAATGCTTGCAGGTATTGAGCACATGGGGGGGTTCAGACTACCAGCGCTGGGCTCTAGGAGGTTATGAATGCTTGCAGGTATTGAGCACATGGGGGGGTTCACACTACCAGCGCTGGCTCTCTAGGAGGTTATGAATGCTTGCAGGTATTGAGCACTTGGGGGGGGTTCACACTACCAGCACTGGGCTCTAGGAGGTTATGAATGCTTGCAGGTATTGAGCACATGGGGGGGGTTCACACTACCAGCGCTGGGCTCTAGGAGGTTATGAATGCTTGCAGGTATTGAGCACATAGGGGGGGGGGGGGGGGGTTCCCACTACCAGCGCTGGGCTCTAGGAGGTTAGGAATGCTTGCAGGTATTGAGCACATAGTGGGGGGGTTCAGACTACCAGCGCTGGGCTCTAGGAGGTTATGAATGCTTGCAGGTATTGAGCACATGGGGTGGGGGGGGGGGGTTCACACTACCACTAGCGCTGGGCTCTAGGAGGTTATGAATGCTTGCAGGTATTGAGCACATGGGGGGGTTCACACTACCAGCGCTGGGCTCTAGGAGGTTAGGAATGCTTGCAGGTATTGAGCACAGGGGGGGGGTTCAGACTACCAGCGCTGGGCTCTAGGAGGTTATGAATGCTTGCAGGTATTGAGCACATGGGGGGGGGTTCACACTACCAGCGCTGGGCTCTAGGAGGTTATGAATGCTTGCAGGTATTGAGCACATGGGGGGGTTCACACTACCAGCGCTGGGCTCTAGGAGGTTATGAATGCTTGCAGGTATTGAGCACATAGGGGGGGTTCACACTACCAGCGCTGGGCTCTAGGAGGTTATGAATGCTTGCAGGTATTGAGCACATAGGGGGGTTCACACTACCAGCGCTGGGCTCTAGGAGGTTATGAATGGCTTCATTTGTTTCATTGCTTGCAGGTATTGAGCACAGCAGCTGTGCAGATATAATATACTGTATATGTTTTTAAAAACTTTTATTACAAGTTTTTTCTCAGACCTTTGGCAGCCTACATGACAGAAATCACAGAGAGTGTAGAGGAATGATTTGCTCCTGGAAGGGTTCTGGGTCACCCTGAGCAGAGTGGTGTCAGGAGGAAGGAGCAACCTTCCATATCAGAGATTGTAGAGGAATGATCTGTCCCTGGAAGGGTTCTGGGTCACCCTGAGCAGAGTGGTGTCAGGAGGCAGGGGTGACCTATATCAGAGATTGTAGAGGAATGATCTGCCCCTGGAAGGGTTCTGGGTCACCCTGAGCAGAGCGGTGTCAGGAGGCAGGGGTGACCTTATATCAGAGATTGTAGAGGAATGATCTGCCCCTGGAAGGGTTCTGGGTCACCCTGAGCAGAGTGGTGTCAGGAAGAAGGAGCAACCTTCCATCACAGAGATTGTAGAGGAATGATCTACCCCTGGAAGGGTTCTGGGTCACCCTGAGCAGGGCGGTGTCAGGAGGAAAGGGTGACCTTCCATCACAGAGATTGTAGAGGAATGAACTGCCCCTGGAAGGGTTCTGGGTCACTCTGATAGAGCGGTGTCAGGAGGAAGGGGTGACCTTCCATCACAGAGATTGTAGAGGAATGATCTGCCCCTGGAAGGGTTCTGGGTCACCCTGAGCAGGGCGGTGTCAGGAGGAAGGGGTGACCTTCCATCACAGAGATTGTAGAGGAATGATCTACCCCTGGAAGGGTTCTGGGTCACCATGCACAGGGCGGTGTCAGGAGGAAGGGGTGACCTTCCATATCAGAGATTGTAGAGGAATGATCTGCTCCTGGAAGGGTTCTGGGTCACCCTGAGCAGAGTGGTGTCAGGAGGAAAGGGTAACCTTCCATCACAGAGATTGTAGAGGAATGATCTGTCCCTGGGATGGTTCTGGGTCACCCTGAGCAGGGAGGTGTCAGGAGGAAGGGGTGACCTTCCATATCAGAGATTGTAGAGGAATGATCTGCTCCTGGAAGGGTTCTGGGTCACCCTGAGCAGAGTGGTGTCA